GGGATGGGTCTCTAACAATGCCGAGAGCATTGGTGCGAGTGACATCAATGCACTAGGAATTTATTGCCATTATCAGCTCTCACCAAACTGTGAAGGACCCAGAGCTGTACAGTGCCTTGATCACTAGGAAAAATATTTTTAAAAAAAGGTTAGCCTTTGTTTAGCAGAAGAATAGGATGCAAATCAAAGAAGTTAATTGTCATGATTTACATTAGTTATGTCTGATATTCAGCACAATGCTTCTCTTACTTACATGTACCCTCAGGCTCTGTTGCATCTAAAACAGCCTCTTAAACCAGTGTGCACAGGCACCTTGGGGTGCTTTGGCAAAATGCCTACAATTTGCCCAAACATTGTGGATCAAGCCTGCCTTTTAGTTGCACAAAGCCACAGGTTTTCATTGTGCAACATTACAACCTCCTAGCCGCCGGCATCCTAACAACCAATGATGTCATCAGTTGATATGGACATTCGCATGCCTGCACAGCATCCTTGCTTGCCCCTTTCTTGTCCCTCTCCATCAGCAGTGAAGTCACACAGCTGATTGAGGGAGAAGAGAAACCCTACAATACTAGTCAGTACCAATGTACCAATGTGGTTGCCTTGTAAGAATAAATCACTTCTAATGTTGGGTGTCCTATATATGCTGATGTAGCTGCATTATGTCAAATTATTGGAATAGTTTTTTACATTTTAGAATTGAGTGCCTCAAAATTGTCCATAATTTTAACAGGTGACTTGACTGTAAAAAGGTTGAGAAACTCTGGACTAAACATAGCAAAAGCGTAGGAGGCAGCAATACATACAGTGAAGGAAATAAGTATTTGATCCCCTGCTGATTTTGAATGTTTGCCCACTCACAAAGAAATGATCAGTCTAAAAATCGAATGGTAGGTGTATTGTAACACTGAGAGACAGAATAGCAACAAAAAATTCAAAAGAAATGTATGTCTAACAAATGATGCACTGATTTGCATGTTCATGAGGGAACAGGGGCGGACTGACAACTCATGGGGCCCCCGGGCAATAGGGGATCATGGGGCCCCTGTGTCCTTGCCCAAACTCAAAAAAGGCTATGAAAAAGGTACCAGGGGCATCTCATGGGGCCCCCTACTGACCCCGGGCCCTCGGGCAGTGCCCGAGTTTCCAAGTGGTCAGTCCGCTCCTGTGAGGGAAATAAGTATTTGATCCCCTTCACAAAAGATGACTTAGTACTTGGTGGCAAATCCCTTGTTGACAATCATAGAGGTCAGATGTTTCCTGTAGTTGGCCACCAGGTTTGCACACATCTCAGGAGGGATTTTGGCCCACTCCTCTTGGCAGATCCTCAAGTTATGGTGGCTGATGTTTGGCAACTCGAGCTTTCAGCTCCCTCCACAGATTTTCAATCCGATTAAGGTCTGGAGACTGGCTAGGCCATTCCAGGACCTTAATGTGCTTCTTCTTGAACCACTCCTTTGTTGCCTTGGCCATGTGTTTTGGGTCATTGTCATGCTGGAACACCCATCCACGACCCATTTTCAATGCCCTGGCTAAGGGAAGAAAGTTCTCACCCAAGATTTGACGGTACATTGCCCTGTCTATTGTCCCTTTGATGCGGTGCAGTTGTCCTGCCCCCTTAGCAGAAAAACACCCCCAAAGCAGAATGTTTCCACCATGTTTGACAGTTGGGATGGTGTTCTTGGGGTCATAGGCAGCATTCCTTCTTTTTTTGTTGCTATTCTGTCTCTCAGTGTTACAATACACCTACCATTTCAATTTTTAGACTGATCAAAATCATCAGGGGATCAAATACTTATTTCCTTCACTGTACAAATGAAAAGCTAACTTTATTGGCCATGTGCAATTTTGGTCATGCACTACGTTCAGCATGCCGGGCATAGCGTGTTCAATTTCTCTTCTCAAACCTTTCGGGGTGTCTCTGCTAATTCTTTTCAGATGTTGGTGACTAGACATGTTATGTGCTCTCAGCTGAAATTCCAATGATTGAAGAAGTGCAGCCAAAGCTCTTTTGGCTGTACTTCTGTGGATAACAGGAGTGCAGTTTATTCTGCACTCCTGTGACCCATTTTTAGCTGACAGTGGGTTGAAATCTGCAGTCAGCTGATGTCATTCAGCCAGTCCAGGCTGGGAAAAGATCACAACTTTACAGTCGGGATCCACCACAGAGTCGGGAGCGGTACCTGGCTCAGCCTCTCAGCTAGCCGCTGGAAGCCTGAGCCAGCCGCACCCTCTCCCTCCACAGCCCAGTGCTCCAGCGAGGGAGGGGAGGCAGAACAGACAGAGGTGACTGATTCTCTGCTCAGAGCGGCTGTGAGAACTCAGCGATCAGCAGTCATGTGGTCACTGAGTTCTCTCCCTGAGAGCCGGTGGGGGACAGATGCAGCATTGGACAGATGCAGCATCCACCTAGGTGAGTATGATTTTAAAATAAAAACCATTCCCATACTCCTCTTTTAACTTTACTTTACATTTACACAAGTGTATTTCCTCCCATCAACAGAAATAATTCATAATAAAATAAAGAAAGTGTGCAACCCATGTACCAGTCATCCTAAAATATTACTACACCACGGACCCTGCATTCACTATATCTGGTCTCCCACAGTACACACAACAGGGAAATGCAATTATTTTAGTAAATATAAACTGCTAAATACCTTTTCCAATCAGCAGTATACAGCAGTCTTGTGACTTCTATCAGTGTCCAGCAGAGCATTAGTTAAAGCTTGTAGGAGTTTTCTTTCTGCTCTATGAGGATGCAGGACCCCTGACCCTCTATCTGGACAGTGCTGATTGGCTCTGTGCTGAACACATGCACTCTCCCAAGAAAAAAAAATGCTCTAGCAATACACACCAAACTGAGCATGTGCAGCTTGCCTAAGGCTCCATTCTATTAGTAGATAGATTTCGGACAGTAGAAGAAGGGGAGGATCAGAAAAGACAGGATCTAACATCTGTTTTTAGCAATGCAGAGGATTAACCCCTCAGGTTTCACAGTGAGTATAACAAGCATGCTTTACTGCATATACAGACTGATTTTACTGTTGTGGGTTTAATAACACTTTAAGTACTCTACATAATAGCTACACTGCTCACAGCTGTCACATTATTCATGTTCTGTATTTATAGTGGTAATATATTAAAATAAATCTATACTATAAGACACTGCCAGTGAGTTGTGATTATTAAAGAGTAACTCCACTTTCATGGGGAAAAAACGGCAAATCAAAAAAAAAATATAGCGTTTACAATTACTACACTACCTGGGGGTGTTTCGTACACAGATGGTGTACAGAACGCCCACCAGAAATGCCATTTTCTGCTTTTGTGATTGGCTTACTGATTTTCCAAGAAATCTGCACTAAGATACAAGTCAGATTTTGGGCATCCCCTACAACAAAAATATCTTGCTGGATATCTATACTGATATGGACTGGGTAATGTGTTAGGAATGTAAGGATGCCTCATGGTTTGATGGAAATGAAAATTATCAACCTACAGAGGACTGAATTCAAAGACCCCCTGAAAATGAAAGTAAAAACATGATGCAGCAGGCTAGTCCATTTTTCTGAAATTTCATTGCAGCAACTCAAAATGGTAGTTTGTATGGCCCCCACATGCTTGTATGTATGCCTGACAACGTCGGGGCATGCTTCTAATGAGATGACGGATGGTGTCGTAGGGTATTTCCTTCCAGATCTGGACCAGGGTATCACTGAGCTCCTGGACAGTCTGAGGTGTAACCTGGTGGCATCAGATGGACTGAAACATGATATCCCAGAGGTTCTATTGGATTTTAGTTACGCGAGCGTGGGGGCCATTTAATGTTATCAATTCCTTCATCCTCCAGGAACTGCCTGCATACTCTCGCCACATGAGGCCGGGCATTGTTGTGCACCAAGAGGAACCCAGAACCCACTGCACCAGCGTAGGGTCTGACAATGGGTCCAAGGATTCCATTCCGATACCTAATAGCAGTCAGGGTGCCATTGTCTAGCCTGTAGAGGTCTGTGCGTCCCTCCATGGATATGTCTCCCCAGACCATCACTGACCCACCACCAAACCGGTCATGCTGAATGATGTTACAGGCAGCATAATGTTCTCCACAGCTTCTCCAGACCCTTTCATGTCTGTCACATGTGCTCAGGGTGAACCTGCTCTCATCTGTGAAAAGCACAGGGTGCCAGTGATGGATCTGCCAATTCTGGTGTTCAATGGCAAATGCTAATCAAGCGCTATGGTGCTGAGCAGTGAGCACAGGGTCCACTAGAGGACGTCAGGCCCACAGGCCACCTTCATGAAGTCTGTTTCTCATTGTTTGGTCAGAGACATTCACACCAGTGGGCTGCTGGAGGTCATTTTGTAGGGCTCTGGCAGTGCTCATCCTGTTCCTCCTTGCACAAAGGAGCAGATACCGGTCCTGCTGATGGGTTAAGGACCTTCTACGGCCCTGTCCAGCTCTCCTAACTGCCTGTCTCCTGGAATCTCCTCCATGCTCTTGAGACTGTGCTGGGAGACACAGCAAAGCTTATGGCAATGGCATGTATTGATGTGCCATGCTGGAGGAGTTGGACTGCCTGTGCAGCCTCTGTAGGGTCCAGGTATCGCCTCAAGCAGCTGAAACTGATGAACAACCCCCTCTGCTACTTCACTGATCAGATCAATATCCCAGGAGTTTCATTGACTTGAGGCTATATTCTGATTAAAAAGCGATTCGATGAGTGATGAGTAATTGGTGAGAAGTGAACACTGTGCAGCTCAGAAAATGCTAGGACAGAGCCGGCCGGCAGGTGGCGCTGTGCGGAGATCTCCTCGATATGCCTGGCAATGCCAGCCGTGGCCAGCGGAGGCCGCTGTGGGCGGAGAGTGAGGCGGCTCTGTGCGCTCCCAGCATTCCCCGGGCTGGCCTGTGTGCCACGTAAGAAGGAGCCGCTGCAGTGTGTTGTCTTACCGGGAGCGTCCAGTCAGAGGGGGTCACCGCCTGAGGGGGGTGCGACATGGGGGGCTCGCAGAGTGTGGAGATCCCCGGTGGAGGAACAGAGGGGTACCACGTCCTACGGGTAAGGTGGTGCGGTGTGGAGGCGGGAGGAGGCCTTTGTGTGTCATGCTAGTGGCCTGTGTGTGGGGGGGGGCTGGACGCAGGACCTCGGGTGTGTGTGTCTTCTCTGCTCCCCTCCCCATATATATCGGTGTGTATATATCCTCTGTATCTCCCACCCCTGTATGTGTGTGATCTCTGCTGTACATGCAGTGCTTCAACCCTCTGCTGCCCATCCCCTATCAATGACGGACCCCACTGTCTGTGGTGGACCCCCCCATCCCCCTATCAATGACGGACCCCACTGTCTGTGGTGGACCCCCCATCCCCTATCAATGACGGACCCCACTGTCTGTGGTGGTCCCCCCCATCCCCCTATCAATGAGGGACCCCACTGTCTGTGGTGGTCCCCCCCATCCCCCTATCAATGAGGGACCCCACTGTCTGTGGTGGTCCCCCCCATCCCCCTATCAATGAGGGACCCCACTGTCTGTGGTGGTCCCCCCCCCCCCCCCCCCCATCCCACTATCAATGACAGACCCCACTGTCTGTGGTGGTCCCCCTATCAATGATGGATCCCACTGTCTGTGATGGACCCCCTATCAATGACGGACCCCACTGTTTGTGGTGGACCCCCCCTTCCCCCTATCAATGATGGACCCCCCCCCTGTCTGTGATGGACCCCCCCTTCCCCTATCAATGACGAACCCCACTGTCTGTGATGGACCCCCATCCCCCTATCTATGACGGACCCCACTGTCTGTGATGGACCCCCTATCATTGACGGACCCCACTGTCTGTGATGGACCCCCACCATCCCCCTATCAATGACGGACCCCACTGTCTGTGGTGGTCCCCCCGCATCCCCCTATCAATGACGGACCCCCCCGCACTGTCTATGATGGACCCCCATCCCCCTATCTGTGATGGACCCCACTGTCTGTGATGGACCCACCATCCACCTATCAATGACGGACCCCACTTTCTGTGATGGATCCCCCTATCAATGATGGACCCCACTGTCTGTGATGGACCCCCCCCCATCCCCCTATCAATGATGGACCCCCCCATCCCCTGTCCCTATGTCTCTGTCAGATCCTCCAGTACTGTGGGGTTGCTCATCGGTGACATGGTCGGTGTTCAGGCTGCTTGTGGGTCAGACCCCTCCTCACTGTCCTCTACACCGGCCCCATCATTGTGTCTTCTTATGTGTGCTTTGAGTGATGTATAATGCTGCATTCATCAGAAGCTTCACACATATATTCAGTGACAGGACTGTCCTCCCCCCCCCCCCTTGTTGCTGTCATTATAAGTAAAGAAATGTAAGTATGAATAGTGCCACACAGTGTAATCAGATAGTGCTTTACACTTTCATAATGTGCTAAAAAAAAAAAAAAAACCTCTTGTATATCGTGTTTGGAAGTAAAATATCCACGTGTTACTTTAAATGCAAAATTCACAAGCAGCTATTCCTACATAATCAGATGTAGCAGGAGCAGTCTCTGAATGGTACCTGTGCTGGGCAGGCGACCAGCCTCCTGTGTTCAGAACACAGCAGGGCAGCCACTCGGCACGGGAACCAGAAGTAGGTGGAGATCCCTGGAATAGCGGCGTCTTCTTCAGTGATTTCTGCTTCCAGGGGCATCATGGTGTGTATATACAGCATTATATGGGTCCAAGCTGGATCAATGTAACCTGTACAAAAACCTGGAACTCTAATAAAAGAAGCATGCCTTTTTTTTTTTTTTTTTTTTTCTTTGCTGTCAGTCCATTCATAATGATTGGCTGCACTAACGCACTCCACAACACATAGCAGTTCGTTTAAAGTGGCTCTAAAGACTGAAGGTTTTTTATCGTATTGCAGTTTATGCATGAGAGAAAAAAAACCCTTCAGTGTGCAGCTTGTGTGTAGAAATGTTTGGCTCTGTACACTTTCACCCCTAGTATTAGTTATGCTGGTCACTCAGACTCCCGCTTTACCTCTGCTTACATTCTTAAAGCAATTAAATGTAACAGTCAATACCGTGGTGCCTCCCAATAGCAAAACATGACCATAGTGACTGTATAAACCAAATATTGCCATTTACATAGTTGCAGCTGCCCTTAATATTTGTAAATCAAATGCAAAAAATTATAAAGTAGGAGGCGCTTGCTTAACATAATGTAAACAAAGTATCAGAAAAGAGTCTAATAACGTGCATTGTCCCACACTTTAGGAGCAAATAAAAGTCTGCCCCTAATTCTAAGAGGATGCGTGATCATGCCTATTTTCCAAACTAATCTTCTTCACCACTAGTGTTTAAGTTCCGCACTCGCCAGCAAATTTTGACCCCCCCCCCCCCCCCCCCTTCCATTAGGATGGTCAAACCGTGCTGAGTTCTCCAAGCCTGTCCTCTCTTGTAGTAGATTTCCAGACTTTCCTTCAATCTACAATATTTAACAAATGGGCTCAATAAAACAGCAAATATCCATAAAAAAACATCTAATCCCCCAGTCACATCAAAGCTGATTTTGAAATAGTGTGACTTGCAGTGAAGTCACACAATTTCAAAATCGGGTGACCTGCTGATTTCATTTGCAATTTGCAAGACATTGACACAGATGTCTATGCAACTCACAACAAAAGTAGTGCATGCACTACTTTAGAAATCGGTGCGGCTCCGACCAAGTTGGAACCGCACTGATATGAGCGCTCTAATAGCAGACAATAGGGTGTGACTTGGCATACGATTTGCAAGTCACATGGCATGCAAATTGAATGCCAAATCACCAGGGTGTTAGTGTAGTGTTTATTAAGATCCTTGGTACCAAACAAAATGTATTAAAACGTCACTCACATGATCCGGTGCCTAATAATCCTGCAACCAGTTAATACAGCCTGTGTGTGTTAATAGAGATGTCACCGACTAGCCGGCGTGTGCTCCAAGCCTCGATCTGGTGGGCTGAATGTGACATCATAGTGACCAGGAAGTGATGGTCCACACTGCTATGTACATTTCACCTGGCAACGTCTTCAGGACGCCACTTCCTGAAGAAGGTAAAACGTATGTAGAAGCATGGTCACTACATGGTGCTGATGATCATATGAAATAAACGTATTGGGAAAATATGGTCAGAATTCGTGAGAGATTGCTCGTGACATTTTGTTTAACAACATTTTTTTTGTTTGATAGACCGGGAAAATGTTTGTAGATTCTGTAATGTATAAATAACTGGCCAGGCTGGAAATTACATAAATGAAGTTCCCCAAAGCTAAGATCGGTTTTACTGAATTTAAAATAATGAACTAGATTACAGACATTATTTTTTTTCTTGTCAAAACGTCAATGAAGGTATTTTGTCCTTACAGCAATGGCAGAGTTAATAGGACAATCCTGGTATGATAAATGATTGACAAAACAATGGCATTGTTCTGCTAGTGTGTCCACTTTCAGGTGAACAGGTACTTGTTTAGCTCCCATAATACCCAGAATATATGTAGTACTGTATTAGAACACCCCCCAAGGTATTGGTTATAGACCGCAATATTGATGCTGCAGTTCTTGCCATGTTTAGTAAAGGACCATGGTAGTCTTCTGCCCCATTGTGCAGGAGAAGGATTTTCAGATGAGTGATGCTTTTGTTTATATCCAGCAATTTAAAACTGAACTCCATCCTTTACCTCGTGTCTTGCACAGTTGTACAGGCTTCTCCCCTTTACTGACATTGCTGCAACAAGTCTGATAAAGCTGCCTTATTTTCCTGGCCCTTTCCTTTCCAGCCTGAGTCCCTGGCTCACCCCTTTTATTCATTGGATTTCTGCTCTTTCAGGCTTGGTGGCTAAGCATAACTGCAACTTTTTGGGGAAGTTTCCCCCTCACAAGGACAAGAAATGCTCTCTCTTCCAATGGAGTTATTGGGGGAAGAGGAGTTAGATGATGCTGGGTGTTTTCCAACCAGGAAATCTGATGCTCTGTCTGTCTTACTGCAGCTTCTAATGTACCGGTAAACTGTGATAAGCTGAGTGTGTGATGGAAGCAGAGAAAGCAATTTCTGGAGAGGAGCCTTTCCTTCACTAACCAGTCACTTCAATACTCCGTCACAGGTCATTGACATGACAGCCTGGGGACAGGACAGTTTGGTTGTATTATGGTGACCATCACCATAATACAACCAAGTAGCATGACAGACAGCTCTGGATTGAAAGCTGCCTTTTTTTCATTTATCTTTTAATGAGCTATCATTTGTTTGACTGGAGTTCTGCCTTAACATGATTTGCAATTGTGTAAAATTGTAAAAGGGAGTATGCAATAGTATTGCACAGAGCAGCCCCGATCCTCCTCTTCTGGTGTCCCCCGCCAGCTTTCTAGGCTGCTGCTCTTCTCACAGTGCTCCCATAGCAAGCAGCTTTCTATGGGGGCACTCATTCGGGCATCCTCCTGAGCTGGGCTGTGTGCGTCCATTGACGCACAGAGCCCAGCTTGGTCCTGGCCCCCACTTCCTCATCACTTAATTTGACTGTCCGTAGCAGGAGATCCCACTGCTCTCCGCCAAGTCTGTGAATGCAAGAAGGGAGAGCAGAGCGGGGTTGCTGGTGGAGACAGTGCTGGATAGAGAGTAGGTGTCCGGTAAGTGTTTGGGGGTGGGTGGCACAAACATTAGAAGGGTTTGTTTTTGTTTTTTTTTTTTTTTTTTGCTTTGATGCATAGTATGCATGAAGGTTAAAAAAAAAAAAAAAAAAAAAAACCTTCTGACTTTAGAACCACTATAGGTAGGCTTTGCTCTTCTGATCCTGTTTAATAATCTGTAGAAATGTATTAAAACAAGCAACATTATACCAGAATAAATCCCAATACAGCTCAGGATATTGTATAGATCACCAGGCAGAATGCAGGTTTGGCAGCAGCTATTTGCATGTGACATGGCCCTGGGAGTGAATCCATTAGGATGTCTTTGGTTGTGCTCAGCATTTTCCTTGTTGCAGCCCAGCAAACTAGACAATGCAAACCTTGCTGAGGGAACCACAGAAGCTGTTAGGCATTTACAGTAAAAGGAATTAATAATTAACGTAGGACAAGGAAGGAAGCCAAACATCAGGCTTGCATGGTGGAACATATGTTGGAGGAAGGAGTACATTTGTCTGTGGCAGTCTCAGATTCTTTCATACTTTGCATACGTTTTTCATACTTTACTGGGGACAGGATGAGACGATCACGTGGTTGTCGTGGGTACATTTGGGTTTAGGTTGGTTTTAAGAACCATTCTGTTAGGATATATGCAGATTATAATTACATTATTATGCAACAAATGTTGATTTATTGTGCATTACAGCACACTGCATTCCTACAGCCTATTCACTGAGAATGGGCCTCAACCTCATAATATTCTCTCTATTCCTTGATCGCACATCTTCATCACAGCCAAAGTGGAGGATCGAAGTTTAGTTTGGCTTATCCTTCTTTTCAGCAGATGCCATGGGATAGTCCTTCAGAGAAACCTATTCTGAAATGTTCTGACTGCCATTACTGATCTCTTAAATTTGATAGTTGCTTATCTTTTCATTCATGGACCTGGAAAAAAAAAAAAACTTTCAGAGACATCATCATAACATTTAGTGTGCATACTGTGTGTTTTTGGGTGAGTAACTGTAGAAAGCTATGATATCAGAGGATCTGCATTACAGCTGGACAGTGAGTGCACTTGGAACCTTGAAGGAACGATTGACAATGGTCGCTGTTCTATTCATTCCTTTACCCCTAAACCTGTTGGTTTTAAGTCAAAAGCGCTAACAGCCCTCACATCCCACAGTACAGGATAACTGTAATAATCCGAATCGATGACTAAACAGACTCCGCTTCTCTCAACAGGTACAAGAAAACTCTCCTGGACACAGAGCTGGGCTTGAACCTTTCTTTGACTTCATTGTTTCAATAAATGGTCTAAGACTGGTGAGTTGAAAATGTTCTAGTCTGAAGTTGTAAGATATATGTAGTGTAATCATAGTATACAAACACACACAAAAAATCTCACAAAAACATTTACTTAAATGTCCTTTTTAATTTCTTGTTAAAAACTGAGTAGCAGCTCACACTGTATGCCATTCAAAATAGTTGTGTTCAAATACACACATTCTGCAGGGAAGACGTGGAAAATCCCACCACTGGTGAGCTGATGCAAAAATTGTTTGGGTGGCACTTTCTGGAAAGACCTGTTGATCTGGTAGTGTCAGAGGCAGGACAAATGGAGTGTTGTGTGGAGACTTTGCTCTGGCTGAGCCAGAGCTGTGCTTTTTGGGGGGGGGGGGGGGGGGGGGGGGGGGAATTCCAACGCCTTTTGAGCTGGATCAGCAAGTGGGTCTGAAGCAAGAGACCCACATGACACCTCAAGTGGAGGGGTTTCCACTTAATTTTTGAATGTGAAGAATACCTTTTTAAGCTGGCCTTACTTTGGCTCATGATTCATGTTTTTGGAGGTGTATTTGTTTTAGGACTTGTACTAAAGAGTTTTCCTGTTCTTATCTGAGGAGGCTTTGTCAGGGTTCCCTGTTTGTTGTGTGTAAAGTTCCCCAAAAGCACAGATCTGTACTGGATATGACTTTTGGTACTCCAAGCTTTGTGGCAGCTTGATGCACCAAAAAAAAAAAAAAATTCCTAAAAGGGTCCAAGGCACATCTGTAATGTAGTGAGATTTACATTTTACAATAGAGGGACTGGTTGCATCTTCTAGGCACAGTGTTGTGTACTCAGACACACTGGGGTTGATTTATTAAAACTGGAGAGTTCAAAATTTGGTGCGTAGAAATCGGTCAGCTTCCAGGTTTTTTGTCAAAGCTGAAGTTAGAAGATGATTGTAAAAATTTGGTCCCCCCTTGTATGGTAGCTACGCTTCAGTTTTAGTGAATCAACCCCACTGTGCCTAGAAGATGCCAGGTACTATGGTACCAGTGAGAATGGGCCTTACCTTGTGATGGATGGGCATACTCTCCATATATTCATGCTCATTATGCTGCTATACATTTCAATGTTTTAATAAACTTCTAATAAACCAGTATGCCGTTCTTTAACCACTTCCAGTCCGGACACTTTTACCCCCTTCCTGCCCAGCCTATCACACTTTGAATGACAATTGCGCGGTCATGCAACACTGTACCCATATGAATTTTTTTAGCATTTGTTTTTTTTTTGAGACAGATAAAGCTTTATTTTGGTGGTATTTATTCACCACTGGGATTTTTTTATTTTTTTTGCTATGTAAATGAAAGTCCAAAAATTTTTGAAAGTGTTTTTTTCTTATAAAATTTTGCAAATAATATTTCGTCATAAATCTTGGCCAAAATTTATTCTGTTTTTATCTTTTTAGTAAAAAAAAATAACCCAAATTAGTTTATAACCAAAAATGTATAATTTGTACACTTTTTTTTTTTTTTCTTTACATTTTTATTTCTTTATATTTATATTTGTTTTGTTTTTGTTTTTTGGTTTTTTTTTACATTCTGTCACCCTAGCAGTACAGTGTCACCATGCTGACACTGTACTACTTGTGGGTGGTGATGATTTTTTTTTTTAAACACTGATTGCTTTTACACCCATTAAGGCTGTAAAAGCAATCATTTCTCCTCTCTGGCTGCATTCTTGCAACTATTGAGAACTACTGTGTGAGCTGTGATTGGTCACAGCTTGTCACATGGTACAAGGCTATTGTGAATAGCCTTGTACCATGTGACCTCTGGGATCATTCACAGATTTCACATGTAGCAAGCAATGATGTCAGAAGTGACATCTTGCTTACTACTCTGCATGTAATCACTGATTGGCCAATTGGTGATCACATGATCGGGACCTTGCACAGAGGTCCCGTCCGATCGGTGTTCCACTATGTCTGGTGGACACAGTGGGCACCGGATCGCAGTGCTGCGCACTCCCAGGGAGCGTGCACAAGCAGGGGGCGGGGAGGCCTTTTATAAATGGCCATCCGACCCTGCACTGCCACAGTTCGGCCGTTTTTATATACAACGGCCGGATGGGAAGTGGTTAAAGCCTAACACCAACTTTTTTGTTTAATAATGTGTTGATTGAAAATTTGTCAGGCTCCTATTTTTATCTATAACCCTACTGGGGAGATTATTCCTCATTTCCTTTTGGTTGAAGTGGATATTTTAAATGGTGAATAAGTTTAACACTATATTATGTAGTGTAATCATCGCTTCTATCTTTTAAAATTGTAAAAACTGTTTGGATTAAATTCATATTTTATAAATTGGTGTTGTCTTTCCCACAGAATAAGGACAACGACACACTGAAAGATCTGCTGAAAGCAAGTGTTGAGAAACCTGTGAAGATGGTGGTGTACAGCAGCAAGACACTGGAACTGAGGGAGACGATGGTCACACCTAGCAATATGTGGGGAGGACAAGGCTTGCTGGGAGTCAGCATACGATTCTGCAGCTTTGAAGGGGCTAATGAGAACGTATGGCATGTGCTGGTGAGTCATTTTAACCCCTTCAACCAAAAGGACGTACATATATGTTCTCTGGTTGAAGTGGTTATACTGGGATGATCAAAATCTGAATACCTTGGGACTTTAAATGAAGCAACCGTTTCCTCCATCCCTATATACATAGTTAGTATGGCTAACATATATACACACAAATTCCACATAGATAAGTTACACTTTTAATTCATTTGTGAACTAAAAATCATATATGAAATACAATTATAAACGCATGATTGTTGAAAGACTGCATCCAAGAACTTGACTTATTTCGAGGAACTCCATCCACTTTCTCAGGAGTTGATGCAAGACATGTATAAATCAGTTCAAAATTAAGACTGACACTGAAGCTTAGGAGTCTTTGGGGATGTCTATCCCAGGAGCTGTGGCAGTGTAAACCATGGGGACCAAAGGCAGAGGACAGGAACACTTCGAAGGGAATATGTCGCTGCATGTGGTAATCAATAGAAATGCCTATAACAGATCCAAAAGGATTTCTAATGGTCCTGTATATTCAAGCTGTAATCCATAATGATCTATAGTGACCCACAAAAAAAGGCTAGTCCGTCTACGCCCACTCCCCATACAGGAAGTTAAAAAAAAAAGAGAAAGAAAAAAAGTGGTATCTCCCAGCACCACGCGCATGCTGCTAGTGAGGGAAGGCGCTTCCATCCAGGCGGAATTGTGTTATAAGATGTGTATATCGATAGACAGATATTAACTTGCAATCTTGTTATTGATCATTTTATCACCTGTACTGTTATGTGATTTATTTAAAGTCCTAGAGCCAATGTATTGAGATACACTATACTGCCAAAAGTATTGGGACCCCCCCCCCCCCCCCCCCCCCCCCCCCCAAAACATTGAATTCAGGTGTTCCAATCTCCATGGCCACAAGTGTATAAAATCAAGCACCTAGGCATGCAGACTGCTTCTATAAACATTTGTGAAAGAATGGGTCACTCTCAGGAGCTCCATGAATTCAAGCGTGGTACCGTGATAGGTTGTCACCTGTGCAATAAGTTCATCTGTGAAATTTCCTTCCTACTAAATATTCCACAGTCAACTGTTAGTGGTATTGTAACAAAGTGGGAGCAAATGAGAACAAGAGCAACTCAGTCACGAAGTGGTAGGCCATGTAAAATGACAGAGTGGGGTCAGCGCATGCTGAAGTGCGCAGAAGTCGCCAACCGTCTGTAGAGTCAATAGCTAAAGACCTCCAAACTTTGTGTGGCCTTCAGATTAGCACAACAACAGTGTGTAGAGAGCTTCATGGAATGGGTTTCCATGGCCGAGCAGCTGCATCCAAGCCTTACATCACCAAGTGCAATGCAAAGCGTCAGATGCAGCGGGTGTAAAGCACGCCACCACTGGACTTTAGAGATGTGGAGATGTGTTCTGTGGAGTGACGAATCGTGCTTCTCTATTTTGGCAATCCGATGGATGTGTCTGTTTTTGGGGTCTAAGTAATTTTCTAGCAAAAAATTAGGAATTTTACATGTAGAAGAGAAGTGTCAGAATACGGGTATCCACCATTGGGTCCTGGCCAGAGATTCTCCGACAACGATCGCTGAGTAACACTGACGGGAGAGCCCTGTGTGTAAACAACACGGGTCTCTCCTGCTAGCAAGGGCATGCAGCTGTGTATTTCTCTGCACAGCAGAGAAATACACGGCAGCATGTTTCCCTAGTAAAACCCACAATGCACATTATGTAAAACAGCACGCAGTTAACCCTTTGATCACCCCAGATGTTAACCCCTTCCTGCCCAGTGTCATTAGTACAGTGTCAGTGATTTTTTATTAGCACTGATCATTGTATTCGTGTCATTGGGGTGGCAGTAAGTCATTTCCAACCAGTGTCAGAATGCCTACTGCAGTCCCGCTATAAGTTGCTAATCGCTGCCATTACTAGTAAAAATTCCAGTATATGTGCCGCCATTTGTAGACACTATAGCTTTCATGTAAACTAATTGGATTACATGTATTGGGTTTTTTTTTATTATTTTTTTTTTTTTTTTTTAAGCTAAGACATGCGGCAGGGTACGTTTTTGGCCTAAATTTATAAAGAGATATTTTTTTTTTTTTTTTTATAGCACAAAACATAATAAATGCACAGGTGATCAAATACCACCAAAAGAAAGCTCTATTTATGGGGTAAAAAAAAAAGACATGAATTTCATTTGGTTGGAGCGTTGCATGTTTGCTCATTTTTTTCCGTATTGCAACAAATGGCCTAGTCAGGAGGGGGGGGATCCTCTGGAGGGCAAGTGGTTAATTTTTATATTGTGTGTTTTTTGTTTATTATTTTTTTCATATACTTTCTCAAGGAAGTGGAACCAAACTCCCCTGCAGCGTTGGCTGGTTTGAGGCCCCATACAGACTACATCATAGGAGCAGATACAGTAATGAATGAGGTAATAATATGCTCCTTTTTTTATTTTATCTTTGTCTACACTGTCAGGTTGTTTTCTATTTTTTTTTAAATAGAACTGTGGTCAAAATATAAAAATATTTTAATATATGCAAGATCCGGTTCTTTGTCTTTCTCTGTAAATACCCATTAATCCTGCCAGTAGATCCATTGGATAGATGTTTCTTTTAATGGGGTGACCTTGCTATTAAAAATGCAATAACTGCAGTGTTGTCACCCTTGCCGGTGCTGTAGCTACCTACGTGCTGGAATGTTTAATGGTCTTCTCAGTGAATATGCCTAGCTCCACCCACAGCCCTTTAGATTGGCAGCACATTTACTTTATCTTTAGGGGTGTAGGGAAATAATGTAAAAGCCCTGCACAGCTCCACCTATTCCCTCCAGCACTTACTAGCAGGGTGCGGGAGAATTGCAGCTGGGATTTCTCCTGCACCCTGCTAGCATGTTACCACTTATAAAGAGGTGACTTCTCTTAAAAAATGTCTGTTTATTAATGATCGGCTTTAGATGACTTTAACCCAGGGGTGGGCAAACTTTTTGACTTGAGGGCCGCAATGGGTTCATATATTGGACCCGGGGGCCGGACCAAGAGTAGATGAATGATGTGTATGTGTGAATTAATATAAATTAAATTAAAATTTGTAACTTAAATGTTTAGATTAATTTAAACACTACCATGCCATCCATAGTAAGTATAGTAATATTCCCCCATAGTAAGCATAGTAATTCATCCCCCCCCCATATTAATTCATTCCCCATATTAATTCATCCCTCATATAGTATTTCATCCCCCATAGTACTATTCCCCCCCAAGTAGTAAGCCAAGTCCCCTCTGTGTCAATTTGCTTACCTTTGCTCCGCACGTTCCTCTCGCCGAGTTCCCACGCCGTTCCGGTCTTCAGGGCGGACTGTGAGAGGAGCCTAGCTCCCCTCACGTTCGTCACGTTGCCCCGCCTACACATATCCTGACAGCCAATGTTTGCCTGCCCTGGCTGTTTTTTTTTTTTTTTTCTTATCACGCTAAGCGGGCCGGATTAAAAGGTCCGCCGGGCCGTAGTTTGCCCATTGCTGCTTTACCCGTTTCCCGACCGCCCTATAGCAGAAATACTGCTACAAGGCGGCACGGGTGCACAAAAGTGTGTGTGTATGTGATTTTGCATTCGCGGCCGTCAATCACTGGGTCCCGGCCGGTGATTTCCAAGGGTCTTCGACGGGGAGAACTGTTTTTTTACTTAGTTTTCTCCTCCCTATCAGCTCAGGTACACTGCTTTTGGATGGCTGTGCGCAGCCATCAAAAGCAGTGTGATTACACTGAAGTACACTGACCGCCCCCTAGTAAAACACTCCCAGCACACAGTTAACCCTTTGATCGCCCCTCATGTTAACCCCCTTCCTGCCCATTAGTACAGTGTCGGTGCTTTTTTTTTTTTTTTTTTTTGTTTTTGTTTTTCCCCACTGATTACTGTATTGGTGTCACTGGAGATGTCAGTGACACCAAGTCAGTTTCCCCCTAGTGTCAGAATGTCTGCTGCAAGTTTCTGATTATGGCCATTACTGGTGAACATAAAAAAAAAAATCTCAGTGTATATATACCACCATTTGTAAATATGACTTTCACGTAAACCAATTAATTTACATGTATTGGGATTTTTCTTTTTTTTTTAGCAAAGACATTGAGCGGAATACATTTTGGTGTAAATTTATGATGAAGTTTTTTTTTTTTTTTTTTTTTTTTTTTTTTTTTTTTTTTTTTTTTTTCCTTTAATTCTTTTTTACTGGACATGTTTAATAGCAAAAAGTTAAAAGTATTGTGGGTTTTTTTTTTTTCTCAAATTGCAAAAACCGCACAGGCGATCAAGAAAGAAAGCTCTATTTGTGGGGGGGGGGAAAGGACGTAAATTTCATTTGGGTGCAGCGTTGCATGACTGCACAATTTAAAGTTAAAGTAACGCAGCGCAGTAATGCAAAAAATGGCCTGGTCAGTTAGGGGAGTAAATCCTCTGGAGGACAAGTGGTTAAAGAGGATCTTCACTCTACAAACAAAAAATAAGTCAGCAGGTACATATCCAGTAGCTGTTGATTTTTAATAATAGGACACTTGCCTGTCCAGGGATGAAGTGCCTTCCTCACCTGGGCTTGTTCTTCACTAGCCTTCCTGGCACCGCCATTTTTTGACTGTGGGCAGCTGGCTGTGCTACTTGCATCTTCACAGCCAGCTGCCCACTGCGTACACACTTTGTGACTGGTCCTCCAGTCTTCTCTGACCTGTGACGTTTCCCAGAAGACTGCAGGGGGAAGGTGGTCCAAGCAGTAGTGGGAGTGTGTACCTGTCAAAACTAGCCTATCTTGGCTGTGCAAGCCTTCTGCACCCTCCAACATGCATAACAGCTGCATTAAATATTATTGCCATTCACGGAAAAGTACATGTGTGTTGAACGCTTTATTGCCTGGATGCATTAGATTGGATGTTCTCTCATTTACAGTTGTGTTCAAAATAATAGCAGTCAGAAATCACTAACCTGATCAATCACTGTTTTTGGTAGAAATGATATTTCTACATGGCAACATAATTTACTAGCAGGTGTAGTAGAGTAATAGAAATCCAACAGACCCAACAGTCATGACATGCATGCTGCTGATTCTGTGTAATTGAATCACTAATTGAAAGGCGCATGTTCAAAATAATAGCAGTGTGGAGTTCTATTAGTGAGGTCATTCATTCTTTGAAAAACAGGTGGCAATTATTGCCCTTATTTAAGGAAGGAAGGCAGCAAATGTTGTACATGCTGGTTACAGTGCGTTTCTCTCTGAAATTCTGAGGAAAATGAGTCGTTCCAGACATTGTTCAGAAGAACAGCGTACCTTGATTAAAAAGTTGATTGGAGAGGGGAAAAACATGTAAAGAAGTGCAGAAAATGATAGGCTGCTCAGCTAAAATGATCGCAAATGCTTTAAAATGGCAACCAAAACATGAAAGACGTGGAAGAAAGCAAAAAAACTACCATTGGAATGGATAGAATAGCCAAAATGGCAAGGACTCAGCCAACAATCAGCTCCAGGAAGATCAAAGAAGGTCTAAAGTTACCTGTGAGTACTGTTACAATTAGAAGACGCCTATGTGAAGCCAAGCTATCTGCAAGAAGCCCCCCGCAAAGTCCCACTGTTGAAAAAAAGACGTGTGCTGAAGAGGTTACAATTTGCCAAAGAGCACATTGACTGGCTTAAAGAGAAATGGCGCAACATTTTGTGACTGATGAAAGTAAGATTGTTCTTTTTGGGTCTAGTGGCCGGAGACAGTTTGTCAGACGACCCCCAAACACCGAATTCAAGCCACAGTACACTGTGAAGACAGTGAAGCATGGTTGCACAAGCATCATGATATGGGGATGTTTCTCATACTACAGTGTTGGGCCTATTTATCGCATACCAGGGATCATGGATCAGTTTGAATACATCAGAATACTTGAAGAGGTCATGCTGCCTTATGCTGAAGAGGAAATGCCCTTGAATGGGTGTTCCAACAAGACAACGACCCCAAACACACCAGTAAACGTGCAACATCTTGGTTCCAGACCAACAAGATTGACGTTATGGAGAGGCCAGCCCAATCCCTGGATCTTAATCCAATAGAAAACTTGTGGGGTGACATCAAAAATGCAGTTTCTGAGACAAAACCAAGAAATAGAGAAGAACTGTGGAATGTAGTCCAATCATCCTGGGCTGGAATACCTGTTCACAGGTGCCAGAAGGTGGTTGACTCCATGCAACACAGATGTACAGCAGTTCTCAGAAACAGTGCTTATACAACCAAATATTCATTAAGTGATTCAAAGGAAAGCAAAATCTTCAAACATTTTTCAGTTTATATAGTGAATGTTTGAGTTTGTAAAGAAGAATACAAACACTGCTATTTTTTTGAAAGTCTAATATTCACTTTTCTTCAATTTTCTTTTTTTTTTTTTTTTTTTTTTTTTTTTAGAGGAACAACACAAATTTGATATATTTTTCTTCATGTTTTGATTTGGAATAGAATGTGTAGTGTTCCCAATGCATTTGTGTGTATGGAAATAAAAGCTATTAGAAGGATTTTGAGCTTTATTCACTTTTTTCAACACACTGCTATTATTTTGAACACAACTGTATGTGACCTGAAAAGATTTTACAGCTATGTAGTAATACATTGGGAGTGATTTACTAAAACTGATGCACACAGAATCTGCTACAGCTCTGCATAGTAACCAATCAGCTTCTAGGTTTTTCTTGTCAACTTAATTGAACAAGCTGTTTGAATTGAACAAGTTAGAAGCTGTTTGGTTACTCTGTAGAGGTGTCCCAGATTCTGTGTGCACCATTTTAGTAAATCTCCCCCATTGAGTGTTTGAGCAATGGATTATACCCGGTTTGGAATCATGAGTTATGGAGCGACACCTTGCCAGCTTTCTGTTCAGCACTGGTGCAGTATTGAGTTGTGACACTGAGTGTCAGCACAAACCGCAGATATTCCCAGGATAGAGAATCAAAAGCTTTATATATGTCCAAGGACAGTAAGAATCCTGGGATTTTCCGTTGTTGCAGAAAATGTATAAGATGGACCACCTTACGGACATTATCACCCGCCTGCCTCCCGGGGACGAACCCTACTTGGTCCCTGTGGACCAGGCTACACAAATATTTATTGATGCGAAAACTAAGGATCTTGCCCAATATTTTTTTCATTAAGAAGAGAGATGGGCCGGAAGGCTTGCGGTTCCTGGACATCAGCGGTCGTCTTAGGAATCATAGAGATATGTGCCCTAAAGTGCGTCCGGGAGAGGGCAAGGAGCCCGTCGTAACTCATTAAAGTAGGCAGCTAAAAAGGGCGCGGCTTTCTTCTTTGGATTCATACTTGTCTGTTTGGCAACTTTTGATCCTTTTTTTTTTTTTTTTTTTTTTTTTTTTTTTTTTCCTTTTTTTTCGGATGTCTTAAAATACGAACAACTGAAATGTAACTAACAATGCATTTATTACTTTTCAGTCAGAAGATCTGTTTTCCCTTATTGAGACTCACGAAGGAAAGCCTTTAAAGCTGTATGTGTACAACACAGACACCGACAACTGCAGGGAGGTGGTCATCACTCCAAACTCTGCATGGGGTGGAGAAGGCAGGGTGAGTGCTCTGCTGTATGGAGAAGATCTTTTTATGAAGAAATAAGTACCGTATTTTCTGGCGTATAAGACGACTTTTCAACCCCTGAAAATCTTCTGAAAAGTCGGGGGGTCGTCTTATACGCCGGTGCGAGCCGGGTGTCAGGGCGGCACTTTTTCGAGGCGCCGCCCCCCCCCCCCCCCCTCCTCCTCCAACGGACACACTAAGTACAGGGGTGGGCAGAGGGGCTGCTGTACCTTACCTGGCTCCGGTCCCACGACGATCCGGTCCAGGAAGCGCGGCTGCTCCTTCTTTCAGTTCGGATGAAGCTCGATGGTCACGCGGCCGCTCGGCTCCGCCTCCTCACCGGTGATTGGGTGCCAGCACTGGAAAGGCACACAGGCGACCAATCACCGGCGAGGAGGCGGAGCCGAGCGGCCCCGCGAAAATCGAGCGGCCAAACTGGAAGAAGGAGCAGCCGCTCCTCTCCCCGGTCCTCCAACGACACTAACGATGGGGCACCCCCCCACCTGACACCCCCACTATTCTCCCCACTGATACCACCCCCCCCACCCCCCCACAACCCCTACCCCCCCCCCCAACCACCCCCCCTACTTCCCCTCCCCCTGACACCAACGATGGGGCACTATTCCTTCTCCCCACTGACACCAATGGATGGGGCGCTATTCCTTCTCCCCACTGACACCAATGATGGGGCGCTATTCCTGCCACTGACACCAATGATGGGCGCTATTCCTCCTCCCCACTGACACCAGTGATGGGGCGCTATTTCCTGCCACTGACACCAAGTGATGGGGCGCTGTTCCTGCCACACTGACACCAGTGATGGGGCGCTATTCCTGCCCCACTGACACCAATGATGGGGCGCTATTCCTCCTCCCACACTGATGGGGCGCTATTCCTCCTCACCCACTGACACCAATGATGGGGCGCTATTTCCTGCTATTCCTCCTCCCCACTGACACAAGTGATGGGGCGCTATTCCTGCCACACTGACACCAGTGATGGGGCGCTATCCTCCTGCCTGACACCAATGATGGGGCGCACTGACACCAGTGATGGGGCGCTATTCCTGCCCCACTGACACCATGATGGGGCGCTATTCCTCCCCCACACTGACACCAGTGACATGATGGGGCGCTATTCCTGCCACACTGACACCAGTGATGGGGCGCTATTCCTGCCACACTGACACCAATGATGGGGCGCTATTCCTCCCCACTGACACCAAGATGATGGGGCGCTATTCCTCCTCCCCACTGACACCAATGATGGGGCGCTATTCCTTCCTCCCCCACTGACACCAATGATGGGGCGCTATTCCTCCCCACACTGACACCAATGATGGGGCGCTATTTCCTCCTCCCACACCCTGACACCAGTGATGGGGCGCTATTCCTCCTCCCCACTGACACCAGTGATGGGGCGCTATTTCCTCCTGACACCCCACTGACACCATGGGGCGCTATTCCTCCTCCCCACTGACACCAATGATGGGGCGCTATTCCTCCTCCCCACTGACACCATGATGGGGCGATGACACCAAGTGATGGGGCGCTATTCCTCCTCCCCACTGACACAATGATGGGGCGCTATTCCTGCCTCCCCACTGACACCAGTGATGGGGCGCTATTCCTCCTCCCCACTGACACCAGTGATGGGGCGCTATTTCCTGCCACACTGACACCAGTGATGGGGCGCTATTCCTCCTCCCACACTGACACCAGTGATGGGGCGCTATTCCTCCCCCCACTGACACCAGTGATGGGGCGCTATTCCTCCTCCCCACTGACACCAGTGATGGGGCGCTATTCCTCCCCCCACTGACACCAGTGATGGGGCGCTATTCCTCCTCCTCCCTCTGACACCACTGACACCAGTGATGGGGCGCTATTTCCTCCCCACTGACACCAGTGATGGGGCGCTATTCCTCCTCCCACTGACACCAGTGATGGGGCGCTATTCCTCCTCCCCACTGACACCAGTGATGGGGCGCTATTCCTCCTGCCCCACTGACACCAGTGATGGGGCGCTATTCCTCCTCCCCACTGACACCAGTGATGGGGCGCTATTCCTCCTCCCCTGACACCACTGATGGGGCGCTATTCCTCCTCCCACTGACACCAGTGATGGGGCGCTATTCCTCCTCCCCCACTGACACCAGTGATGGGGCGCTATTCCTCCTCCCCACTGACACCAGTGATGGGGCGCTATTCCTCCTCCCACACTGACACCAGTGATGGGGCGCTATTCCTCCTCCCCACTGACACCAGTGATGGGGCGCTATTCCTCCTCCCACACTGACACCAGTGATGGGGCGCTATTCCTCCTCCCCACTGACACCAGTGATGGGGCGCTATTCCTCCTCCCCACTGACACCAGTGATGGGGCGCTATCCTCCTCCCCACTGACACCAGTGATGGGGCGCTATTTCCTGCCCACTGACACCAGTGATGGGGCGCTATTCCTCCCCACTGACACCAGTGATGGGGCGCTATTCCTCCTCCCCACTGACACCAGTGATGGGGCGCTATTCCTGCCACACTGATTCCTCCTCCCCACTGACACCAGTGATGGGGCGCTATTCCTGCTCCCACTGACACCAGTGATGATGGGCGCGCATTCCTCCTCCACACTGACACCAGTGATGGGGCGCTATTCCTCCTCCCACTGACACCAGTGATGGGGCGCCATTCCTCCCCACTGACACCAGTGATGGGGCGCTATTCCTGCCACACTGACACCAGTGATGGGGCGCTATTCCTCCTCCCCACTGACACCAGTGATGGGGCGCATATTCCTCCTCCCCACTGACACCAGTGATGGGGCGCCATATTCCTCCTCCCCACTGACACCAGTGATGGGGCGCTATTCCTCCTCCCCACTGACACCAGTGATGGGGCGCTATTCCTGCCTCCCCACTGACACCAGTGATGGGGCGCCATTCCTGCCACACTGACACCAGTGATGGGGCGCCATTCCTGCCACACTGACACCAGTGATGGGGCGCTATCCTCCTCCCCCACACTGACACCAGTGATGGGGCGCTATTCCTGCCCCACTGACACCAGTGATGGGGCGCTATTCCTCCTCCACACTGACACCAGTGATGGGGCGCTATTCCTGCCCCACTGACACCAGTGATGGGGCGCTATTCCTCCTCCCCACTGACACCAGATGATGGGGCGCTATTCCTCCTCCCCACTGACACCAGTGATGGGGCGCTATTCCTCCATTATTCCCACACTGACACCAGTGATGGGGCGCTATTCCTCCTCCCCACTGACACCAGTGATGGGGCGCTATTCCTCCTCCCCACTGACACCAGTGATGGGGCGCTATTCCTCCTCCCCACTGACACCAGTGATGGGGCGCTATTCCTCCTCCACACTGACACCAGTGATGGGGCGCTATTCCTCCTCCACACTGACACCAGTGATGGGGCGCTATTCCTGCCACACTGACACCAGTGATGGGGCGCTATCCTGCCACACTGACACCAGTGATGGGGCGCTATTCCTGACACCAGTGACGCTATTCCTGACACCAGTGATGGGGCGCATATCCTGCCACACTGACACCAGTGATGGGGCGCTATTCCTGACCACACTGACACCAGTGATGGGGCGCTATTCCTGACACCAGTGATGGGGCGCTATTACTGACACCAGTGATGGGGCGCTATTCCTGACCAGTGATGGGGCGCTATTCCTGACACCAGTGATGGGGCGCTATTCCTGACACCAGTGATGGGGCGCTATTCCTGACACCAGTGATGGGGCGCTATTCCTGACACCAGTGATGGGGCGCTATTCCTGCCACACTGACACCAGTGATGGGGCACCCCATCTTTGGTGTCAGTGGGAGGAATAGCACCCCATCTTTGGTGTCAGTGGGAGGAATAGCACCCCATCTTTGGTGTCAGTGGGAGGAATAGCACCCCATCATTGGAATCAAATCTGATGTTTTTTTATTTGGTGTGCGTTGGAAGAGGGGTAGTCTTATACGGCGAGTATAGCCCAAACCCTATATTTTAACAGGAAAAGTAGGGGGTCGTCTTATACGCCGGAAAATACGGTAACACTCAGAATTATTTAGTACTGCTGAGTACCTGTGCTGCTACCATATACTAAGGGGGGTAATAACATGTTTGTGTTAAAGTCCTATCTGTAGCACCCCTCCCCACTCTTTCCTCAGCCTCCTGCATTTCTGGCAGATCAACAAGCATATATCTGTACTTGCATTGATTTTAAAGGGAGTTGCGCATTTTCTGTAGTGACCCCGCTCCCTCCCAGTGTTTTATACTTCCTTGTCTTTTAGAAGATAAGTTCACCCTTCCTAACATGTTACACCCATATTCAGGGTTGTAACGTGACATGTTACAATCTGACCGGCCCTTGCTCCCCCGCCCCCTGGTACCTGTCCGTTTCAAAAACCCGTGGCCGTGCCTGGCTCCAGCTTGTAGTCCTCCATGAACTACCAGTTCATTGATTTCTCCTGTCAGTATATCTGCTTACTTGTACATCCTGTACGGCAAGCAGATATTCTGACAGGTCTGCAGGAGACCTGCATGGCATCGGGGATCTGCATGCAATACTTTCAGGCTTCTGCAGGATTTTTTTTTTTTGTACTTCTTTAAACCAGCAAGATATGTACTGTGCTACTCATTAGTGTTGCATGGCCACTTTCAAAATGATTGGGGTCTTGTGAATATTGTATGCTCTTCATTGAATCATATGGACAGTTGTATTCTGCATGAAGATGAACTCCCCATAGGTATCCATGTAGAGCATACATGTGGGCCTGGCCAGCAGGAATTTGACAACCTATTGTGTGGTGCTGAAGAGTTGCACAGCTGATCTCGCTGGTTTTGAGATCGGCAAATATAACACTGGGAGGGAGAGGATTCCTACAGAATATGTGTAAATCCCTTTTAAAAAGAAAAAAAAAAGCTGCAGGTACAGAAAGTACCTGTTGATCTTCCAGAAGTTCGGCATGCACTCGTTTTGTCTTTCTTTCCTTCCATTATTTGGTGTTTCTGTTGGACTAGAAGACTCTGTATCCTCCACCCCTCTGTTTCACTCCACATATTTTTTGCATTGAGTCTCAAGAGCATGCCCACATACTGTGTGCAGGGGAAGGGCTCTTGGGAAGGGCTCTACTAGCTGCCCTGAAAGATTATTAAAAGCGTGGCAAAGCAGTTATAGGGAATGGTAATAGGTGTTGTGTTTTTTTTTTTTTTTTGTTTTTTTTTTTTCTACAAGGTAAAGAAAAAATGCTAGGGCATGATCTGGAAATTGGGAAAGGGAGGTATTGAGGGTAAATTTGGGTAATGCCTAGATATGCACTTAGATATGCAATGGAAGGCTGCTACTTTAGCCTTCTACTACCTAAAGACTCATTTGTCTGTCTGTTGTCTTTCACATTTAGTGACGCAGTATGCTCTATGGAAACTGGAACATACAAATGATTCATACATTGCTGCCAAACCCTTCTGAATGGGAGTATAGATTCAGCTTGTTTTGCATTTATTTTCTCAGACATGATAGAATTGGTCCACTTATTGGCTGCTTCTGTGGAGAGAATTGATCACAGGTTTCTCAATATACAGCTAATAAAAATAACTGATGTTTTTATTCCCCCCTTCTTTTTTTTTTTTTTTTTTTTCTTTTTTTTTTACAGCTTAGGTTGTGGCATCGGGGTATGGCTATCTTCATAGGATACCCACTCGACCATTTGAGGAAGGGAAGAAAATCTCTCTGCCAGCACAGCAGTCTCCGGGGGCTCCTGTGAGTCCTCTAAAGGACGGTTTTACAGAGGTCAGCATTTCTTTATCATTATTGACTTAGAAAGCTGTGATAAATTTTCCTAAAGTAGAACTCCAGTCAAAATGTTTAATCTTGCTACCCTGTATAGCCAGACAGATACATTTCTTATTGTAGCTCTGTTGCTTCCTTTTTGTCACCTTTCTGCTCTCTGGACTGTGAATCAACATCATCACATTACTGATGTTTTGTCCAGTAAGCAGGGAGGTGACCCAGGTATTTGTAAAATGATGGTATCGCCCACCTGGCTGTGCAGTGTGGCAGGCAAGACTGAAGGGAAGTTCAAATCCTTTAGCAGGCTTAAATATACACACATTTGTATTTCATTTGTGCACCTAGTTGTTTTCCTAGAGATTTGCTATAATGTAATACTGAGGAACAGTGTATGACTGTCCTAAAGTTGTCCATACACAATCTGATTGTACAATCTTTTCCATCTACCACTACCTGCATAGTGCGAGTCCCTTGCCTGATTTTATACAAATTGAATGGATTTTTTTAGGTTTGTCCTTGTGTTACAGTTTTGGTAAATCTTCATTTAGATCGTATAGTTGGGTTTAGGTAGTGAAGACACGTCTGCGATTCATACTGGAAGTTTTCTACTCCTGATATAGTTTCCATGACTTTGCTTAGACATGTATTGTGAAATTTATTCATTGGCGTATATTCACCATCCAGAATATGTTTGAAAATGAAGTCCCTGCCATTGAATAGGAACAAGCTCATTGGGTCTTAGGGGAGCTGTAGTCATCACTGTGTGGTCATGTGCTGTTCATTCTGGAGCACGCAGTGGTTGCCTGTGTCTAGCAGGTGTTTCCTTAGACCAGCGTTTTTCAACCTTTTTCCAGTCGAGGCACCCCTGTTCAAGGCTTGGTTCACATTACTGTGTGTCACGGAATGCACACAAAATCGCGCTCATTCCTGACATGCAGATAAATGCTCTGCTCTTTAGGGGTACCCCCATACATTGGCAAATGTGGGATGTTTTTTGGTGTGGTGCAATTTTAAACTAAGGTCAGAGACGGCTTTCCCTGCATTTCTGTGGGTAGGGCAGCCCATTGAAATAAATGGGCTGCCACACAGAAGTGAATCAAGGCCCTGTTCACCTGTGAGTTTGGGGGGCGGAAATCATGCATTTGAACTGCTTTTACCACCCCCAACTGTTCCCCCTTTAGCTGCAGAAGCAGCAGCTGGGGGGTAAATGCATGTTGTTGCCGCAGCTGGAAGTATACCTCGAGGTGAATGGGGTTGAATTACAACCACCCCGCAAATGTGTGCGCATTGCATGTAGATGTGGTGATGCTGCTTTTTAACAAGGTTAACCAGGTGGTGAGGAGGCCACATATCGCCTCTTTACCACCTGTCAAATGCCTCTGAAAAGCGATCTGAACATGGATTGCTTTTCAGAGAAGCAGCAGTCCTTTCTATTACGAATAAGTCCTAAAAAAAAGTTCTGAGGACAGGAATAGGGGGTCAAGATTAAAAGTAAATCACACAGCCGGGTACTGCACTCTGGGGGGGGTAGAGAACACAGTAGACACTCCCCTTCCCTTTTGCTGAGCGGTGTGACAGCTCCTAGCGCCGATGTACAGTGCGGCTGGGGATCAGGAGCTTGGGCTCAAGTGACAGCCATTCTCCCCACGGCACACCTGAAGGCTGCCATGCACCATGAAAGGTCATCTCTGAGCAGTGCACCCCTTATTTCCTATGTTCTGGGTTTTGTCATCTGTCTTTCATAATCTACAGTACAAGCACACCTCTGTTTTATTCTAGGTCCAATTGTCGTCTGTGAACTCTCCTCCTACACTGCCTGTTGGGACTCCGGGAATTGAAGCAAGTCTTTCTGGACTGTCCCTCACCTCCAATACACCTGCAGCCACTAGTGCTCTTACCTCAGGTATGCAGTGGACCAAATAAAGATGTTTCCAGCTGTTACTATTTAGAGACAGGAGACCACTTCAAGTATGTGGATCGATCAAGTTCATATCTATCATAAGTACAAAGTCAGAGTGAATGTACAACATGTATAAAGGCATCAAACCATGTTCCAGTGGTGTCTTATTTTGAACAATGACTGACTTCCTTCATATCCAGTTTTATTGTGAAAGGGAAAATGGGAAACGTACCTGTGTAGTTAAGGTAGAGGTTGGAAGGATGTGAAATAAGAGGAAAGGATGGGGGAAGAGACTAGGGTGGCTGAGGACTAGGGTCAAGCCAAGGGGGTTCCATTATGCTCAGTCTCAATAGTGATAGCCTGTAATGTTTCAGTGCTGCAGAAAACGATCAATGTCTGTGGTTAGGGAATGAAAGACCCACAGTGTTCAGGTCTTCCTAAATTTAGGTATTGTACCAAAAATCTTCACCGGCAATCTCACTTTGACTGCAGAAAAGGTGTCCTGTCTTGTAATCCCTTGCATAATACCACCATTATTTTTAGCCTTCAGTGACTTAAAAATTGCTGTTACATCTTGTGAAATGTTTCATCTTCTCTACAAAGGGAGAAAGTGTAAATACATTAATAATTGTTCTTACACAAAGTAAACCTTTCACATTTAGGCTCCATGCACACAAGCCGTTTTTAAGCTCCTAGAAGCTATTGCCATTTTTATCTTTTCTCTAAGAAGATACAGTCAGGTCCATAAATATTGGGACATCAACACAATTCTAAAATTTTTGGCTCTATACACCACCACAATGGATTTGAAATGAAACAAACATTATGTGCTTTAACTGCAGACTGTCAGCTTTAATTTGAGGGTATTTACATCCAAATCAGGTGAACGGTGTAGGAATTACAACAGTTTGCACATGTGCCTCCCATTTGTTAAGGGACCAAAAGTAATGGGACAGAATAATAATCATAAATCAAACTTTCACTTTTTTAATACTTGGTTGCAAATCCTTTGCAGTCAATTACAGCCTGAAGTCTGGAAAGCATAGACATCACCAGACGCTGGGTGTCATCCCTGGTGATGCTCTGCCAGGCCTCTACTGCACCTGTCTTCAGTTCCTGCTTGTTCTTGGGGCATTTTCCCTTCAGTTTTGTCTTCAGCAAGTGAAATGCATGCTCAATCGGATTCAGGTCAGGTGATTGACTTGGCCATTGCATAACATTCCACTTCTTTACCTTAAAAAAACTCTTTGGTTGCTTTTGCAGTATGCTTTGGGTCATTGTCCATCTGCACTGTGAAGCGGCGTCCAATGAGTTCTGAAGCATTTGGCTGAATATGAGCAGATAATATTGCCCGAAACACTGCAGAATTCATCCTGCTGCTTTTGTCAGCAGTCACATCATCAATAAATACAAGAGAACCAGTTCCATTGGCAGCCATACATGCCCACGCCATGACACTACCACCACCATGCTTCACTGATGAGGTGGTATGTTTAGGATCATGAGCAGTTCCTTTCCTTCTCCATACTCTTCTCTTCCCATCACTCTGGTACAAGTTGATCTCGGTCTCATCTGTCCATAGGATGTTGTTCCAGAACTGTGAAGGCTTTTTTAGATGTCGTTTGGCAAACTCTAATCTGGCCTTCCTGTTTTTGAGGCTCACCAATGGTTTACATCTTGTGGTGAACCCTCTGTATTCACTCTGGTGAAGTCTTCTCTTGATTGTTGACTTTGACACACATACACCTACCTCCTAGAGAGTGTTCTTGATCTGGCCAACTGTTGTGAAGGGTGTTTCCTTCACCAGGGAAATAATTTTTCGGTCATCCACCACAGTTGTTTTCTGTGGTATTCCGGGTCTTTTGGTGTTGCTGAGCTCACCGGTGAGTTTCCTTCTTTTTAAGAATGTTCCAAACAGTTGTTTTGGCCATGCCTAATGTTTTTGCTATCAATCTGATGGGTTTGTTTTTTCAGCCTAATGATGGCTTGCTTCACTGATAGTGACAGCTCTTTGGATCTCATCTTGAGAGTTGACAGCAACAGATTCCAAATGCAAATAGCACACTTGAAATTAACTCTGGACCTTTTATCTGCTCATTGTAATTGGGATAATGAGGGAATAACACACACCTGGCCATGGAACAGCTGAGAAGCCAATTGTCCCATTACTTTTGGTTCCTTAACAAGTGGGAGGCACATATGCAAACTGTTGTAATTCCTACACTGTTCACCTGATTTGGATGTAAATACCCTCAAATTAAAGCTGACAGTCTGCAGTTAAAGCACATCTTGTTAGTTTCATTTCAAATCCATTGTGGTGGTGTATAGAGCCAAAAATGTTAGAATTGTGTCGATGTCCCAATATTTATGGACCTGACTGTAAATCCTGTGTGTTCTTGCACACGACTTTAGTCTATTAGCGTTTTTTGAGCTTCAGCGTCTAGGAGCAGAAGAGATTTTTTTGGGCAGAAAAAATGCTAAATGCTCCTTACAACAAGTTTATTTTTTTATTATGTACTGTAAAAACATTCCTAAACGCTATTAAAACCTGCAATTACCAGCGCTTTTTATTCACAGTGTTTTTGGAGCTAAAAAACCCCCCACTAGTGTGCATGGGAACCTTAGTGGCCCATCTCAGTATTGTCAGACCTGGTTGATTTCTCCATGTCATGGAAAGGAGGATGAGTTCTGTAATCCTTGAGAAGAAAATTGAGAAGGGAAGACTACACTGCTTGGGATCTCAGTGCAGAGTGTTGTCAGTTCACTACAGGAAGTTAGGAGCTCACTTGACATCTGACAGATCAACAGATATGTTTCTGTACTTTCAAGTGCTTGGTAAGATGTCAAATATTAGAATATGTGGATGTGTTGCACTTTTTTTCTTTTTTTTTTTTTCCCCTTTAGACATGTATGATGGTACACAAATGTGTGGGAGAGGCCCAGCCTCCGAGAGGCCGCATACTTGTGTACCCGATGTAAACAAACGTGCCTTCAGTGTGTGCGTTCCCAGCGCCTCACAGAAAGCTCCCGATCTCTACTTGCAGCTGCAAATCTCTCCATCTTATTCTTCAAAAAGTAAAGGCTCGTGTGCAGCTATACCACAAATGAAATACTGGAAGGAAGAGATTGCTGTATTCACTCAATGAAATAAACAAAAATGTGATGCGCTACCTCCTCATATAATTATTATTATTATACAGTATTTATAAAGTGCCAATAGTTCGCTCACTGCTGTACATTACAATGGGGACAGAACATGTGACAGACCAATACAATGTGATACATGAGGGGATCGAGGGCCCTGCTCTTTCGAGCTTGCAATCTAGGAGGGAGGGGATGGTGGCACAGGAGGAGATAGCTGTGGGGGATGGAGTGGTAGGAAGAGTGGAGAAGGTTGGCAAGTTAGCAGGGGGTGGGGTAGGCTTCCCTGAAGAGATGGGTTTTCAGGGTGCGCCTAAAGGAGAGGAGAGTAGGTGATAATCTGATGGGTTGGGGCAGGGAGTTCCAGAGGATGGGTGACACCCTGGAGAAGTCCTGGAGGCGGGCATGGGAGGAGGAGACCAGGGAACTAGAGAGAAGGAGGTCTTGTGAGGAGCGGAGTGTGCGTGCTGGTGGATACTTGGATATTAGGTCAGTGATGTAGTTCGGGGCAGTATGGTGGACGGCTTTGTACGTCAGTGTTAGGATTTTGAATTTGATCTGTTGCGCAATCGGAAGCCAGTGGAGGGATTGGCAGAGGGGGGTGGCGGAGACAGAGTGGTTGGAAAGGTGAATGAGTCTGGCAGCCGTATTCAGGATCGACTGAAGCGGGGATAGCCAGCGGCGAGGCAGGAATATAATGAAAACAAACTTTAAAAAACATGCAGTGACAGTCCAAAGAAACTTCAAAATTGCGAGATAACCGTTCAATCCAACATTCTAATTCTTGCTACTTATATGTCTTTGTATCTCTTACTCTCTGCTTTGTCATGACTATCATCCTGAAATAACTACTGAAGTTTGTGATTTTTCAGAATTCTTCATCAATCTTTGAAGATATTTCAACAATGTGATGTATGAAATTGAACTAATCGTGTCCTAGTGCATGAGTAGCATCTGCTATTTTCTGAACAGCAAAACAAATGTTTTTGTAATTCTAATCAATGTATTTTAGTATTTTATGTATATTTAAAACCTATATTTTTTTTTTTTTTCCCTTGGTGACCAGGTTCTATACATTTCAGAGCGTAAATAAGTTTCCATCCACTATAGAAATATTCATTTTATAGCTCTGACATTGTGTTTCCTCCTCCCCAGGTTTACCAACAGTTCCTGTCTTGGCTCCTCAGATAAATCATTCCCTCGCCTCTGTTCCTCTAAACCCAGCAGTCTCTTTGCCAGGTAATGTTTATAGCAGGCTGCTTTGAAACATTTTGATATTACAGACCTGTGTGTGTGTGTTTTATTGGTTATTGTGATATTGTATATTGCCATGATATGTATTCTTTAGTCTTGAATGCCTTGTAATGGGGATATTTTTTGTATGTTTAGACTGGGAATGTGTTGTAATTATCTGCTGGGTCTTTCTCCAGGTCTCATGCCATTATCCACTGGACTCCCTACGTTACAGAATTTGCCCAGTCTGAATATGCCCGCTTCCCACCTCATCCCACGACCAGGACTTCCGGACTTGACACAGAATAGTATGTCCATTGCCTTTTTTAATGTGACTTTTATATCTTTAATACTTCTGTAAGCAGCACATATTAATGGTGGTGGGAGTGTCTGTGTTGCCATGTTATGCTCTCTTTTTTTTTTTTTTTTTTTCTTCTTCTCTCATATGTCTCACACTATGCTCCATAAAAGAGTTCTTATGACGCATGTTCTATGTTCTGGCTGTGCTGAAAGATGCTATGGCCCATCTCTGGGACTGGGCAGGTCTTTGTATGTGACATAGCACAATTGTGCTGGAGTTGGAAAGTATCATCCTACAGAACTAAATGCATGCATTCAAGGAAGATTGTATTGGGCCCTACACCTTGATGTGTTTTGGCTTCACAATCTGCAGTTTCCTTGAATACAAAGCTGGATGTTTGCGCAATCGTTATTTTATCATTCTGAATTCCATCCCAGCAGGAATAATGGTCCTCGTACAGCCCCATAGCTATCTCCAGCCTCAAATGGCCCTGCAGGTAATATGCTGACATGGAGCCCACTACTCCAGAGAGCTGCTTGCTGAGGGAATCTCTGTCTAAATGTGGAGAAAATATAAACTATTGATATTTCCCCCCCCCCCCCCCCCCCCCCCCCTTTTTTTTTTAAAATATTGCTGTGCAGTACCCTGCTCCATAATGCAGTTGTATTTCTAAGCTGCAGCAGTGCTTGCCTGAGCTGACTACAAATGAAATCCTAGCTTATATACTGGTTTTCTATGTGGATGAGGTAGTCACATTTTTGGTTTTAATGAGCTAGCATTAGGTGTAAAAGTAAATATACTGTGTGATACCCGACAGAATCTCACTGGAAACCTTCATTGGAAGGAAGTTGAAGTTCTATATGGATCAAGTAGCAGCAAAGAATGGTTAGTAGCAACAGACTTGGCTGCCACTAAGCTTGATAGTTTGAAATTTTGCTATAATTTCATTTCGTTTTGAGTTTTGTTTGCAAAATATTTTGCATTGGTGTTTAAACACTTGATAACCCTGACAGGTTCATTTAACCGTTTCAATACCGTGCAATTTTACCCCCTTCCTGCCCAGGCCAGTTTTCAGGTTTCAGCGCTCTCACACTTTGAATGACAATTGCGCGGTCATACAACATTGTACCCAAACTAAAATTTGATCATTTTCTTCACACAACTAGAGCTTTCTTTTGGTGGTATTTAATCACCGCTGGGGTTTTTATTTTTTGCTAAATTAACAAAAAAAGACCAAAGATTTTGAAAAAAAAAACACATTTTTCTTTGTTTCTGTTATAAAAGTTTACAAATAAATAATTTTTCTTCATACATTTAGGCCGAGATGTATTCTGCTACATGTCTTTGGTGAAAATAACCCAAATTAGGATGTATTTTTTAGTTTGTAGGAAAGTTATAGAGTTCCTACAAACTATGGTATAGATCTGAATATTGATCAATCCTGAAGTACTGACAGCCAATCTAATATCTTGAGGTCCAAGAATGTCAGAACAGTACAGATATCCCCACAAATGACCCCTTTTTGCAGAGTAGACAGTCCGACGTACTTCATAGGAGGCATGGCGAGTTTTTTGAAGTTGTATTTTTTTTTTGTCATAATTTTTCGGAAAAAAAATTAAAAAAATTATTTTCACTATTTTTTTTTTTTTTTACATACTGTCACCAGTGCAGTACAGCGTCATCATATAACTGGCATGGCGGTGAACAGCGACACTGACTGGTGACAGTATGGAAAAAAATAGATATTTTTTTTAATTTTTTTATTAATTTTTTTATTATTATTTAAAAAAAAAAAAAAAGTTTAATAAAAAAATTAAAGATTTTTTTTTCATTTTACTATGACCAAAATAGTACAATGTTACCATAGTAACACTGTACTACTTTGGGGAAGTGATCAGTTTTTTTTTTTTGTTTTTTTTTTTACACAATTTGCTTATAGCAAAGAATTACTTTGCTATAAGCATTTACCTGAATGAAATCGATTCATTCAACTTTTTTTTTTTTTTTTTTTGTGCTTAGCTGTGATTTGGTCACAGCTAATCACATGACATGTGCATGTGATTAGCTGTGACCATTCACAGCTAGGCACTAGTATACAATGGATGGCATCATGAATGAAGCCATCCATTGTATACAACTGTCATGTGACCTGCTGTAATTGGTCACAGCAGGTCACATGGTACCGGCAACGGGAGCCGGTACTCGGATCTGTCATCGGCCGTGTCCGAGGTGCACGGGCGGTGACAGATCGCACTGCTGCGTTGCTCTGCAACCGCGCATGTGCGGGAGCACGCCAAATGGCGTGCACCCGGAAAGCTGCAGCGCTTTTCAAGCTGCCAAACGGCCATTGGCCGGGCGGCTAATGGTTAAAATAAGTCTCTAACCTGACAGTACTGTTATAATGTGGTAATGTGAAGTGCAGTGATAGATCCTTGCTGGATAAAGGCCTTGACTGGACTACTAACTTTGGAGCATCGCTCCACCACTCACAACTTTTCTATGCAATCAGAATTTGTGTTTTTTTTTTTTTTTTTTTTTCGCCGCTGAAGTTTTCCTACTAGATCCTGGGAATGTGGGAGATAATTGGTGCTGCAGTGTCAGATTTCAAATTTCAGCTTTTATTTCTCTTTCTCTTGTATGCAAATAGGGCAGTTCTAGTGTCCATATGTAATGTGTACAGGGAGGTTGACTTAAAACTATACATACAAAGGGATTAAAACCAGCAGCAGATTGGACACTATATACTAACAGCAGCTTCCATGTCCCTGCTTTTATGTCTCCTTTTGGCTGGCAAAGCTTTGACATCTTAGTAGTGTTGAGCTTTCCCATTCCTTACACATTCCTAATGGTTCATCACTACAGTGGACCACCGCACTGCCCAGCAAGAATGTGGAGGAGATGGGAAAGCTTCCACCCCACCAGAAAGTGCCAGAATTTAGGCATAACAAGTTGCTTTAAATGTAGAAGTATGGCCAAAGCTTTTTTTTTTTTTTTTTTTTTTTTTGGGCCATCATTTTCTTGTGGGTCCCAGGAGTGCACTTAATTTTGTACTCCTGTGACAGAGTTAGCTGCTCCAGGCTCTGGAGGGGTCCTGTCAATATTGTCAGGATCCACCCAGCTGCCTGATTGACAACTGGCTCAATATGCGGCTGAGGGCCAAATTAGCTGTGGTAGAGGGGACAGTAAATGCCTCTTTATAAGATTTTGGGCTTGTGATTACTGCATCAGCGTGACACACGTTTGATATCATTAGACTTCATTAAGTGCATAGGACCTGTGGTTGACCTTCTGACCTAATTTGAGTGGGTTTTGCATTCCCATAGATGTGTGGGGGATGTGCCAAAAGCCTGTTTGTCCTTTCTTACTTTGCAACCTTTTTTGTTATTTTTCAAATGTATTCTATTATACAGCACCTATTTTGTTACATATATCGGCCTAGAGCAAAATGAAATTGTCATGTGGATGCCCCGTTATCTATGTACATGGAAATAATTTAAGACAAATTTTACTTTCTCTTTGCAGTGTCACATTTGCCACCCCTTGGCCCACTGCCACCACTGAATCTGGCAGGTCTGCCTCCCCTCTCTGTAAACGCTCAGTTTCCAGCGTTTCCCCTGGCACCGATCTCTGGTGATCTAGCCCCATCACTGCTGGACCACATCACTGCACCCCTCACAGAAAACGCCACATCCACGGCTGAAGAGCTGGGCAGTGCAGACCTCCCACCAACGGAGAAAGTTACTGTTCGTAGCACAGAAGCAACAGTCGCAGAGTCCTCATAACAAGGATCCAGGCTGGCTCGGTGTATTTATTCAGCCACATGTGTTTCCAAATGCAAACAGTCATTACTTTCATACTAGTTTGTACCTAATGTAGGAGATCTGTAAATAAAGAGAAATTTAGGTATGGTGAAATAAAGTGACTGAAGGTGAAAATTACAGGTGGGAGAGTTGCCAAATGCTGGCACAGATGTAAATTATTTTAGAGTAAATAAGTTTCCAGGAGGAGCCTTTATGAAAGGGTTACGGCACGTGCACTCCAAATGTGTGTATGGTTCTCTGTGTCACCCACTCTGCAGGGCAGCAATTCACTGCTACATCCCTAGCTATTGCTGTAGGCCAGTACTATGGAGAAGCTGCTTTTACTCTGAGATCTATCTGTACATGACATGTAAGAGAAGAGCTATCTATAAATGTTACCATTTTAAACTAAAGCGTTTAAGAGCTGCGATATAAATACAGCAATAAATTACTGGAATTTTACACTATTTTGGCTTGCTGTCTTTGCAATCATTTCTTCACCCTTGTTATTCCGATGCATACCTAACACTCCTACATTTAAATCTGACTACATGGATATTCAGATAGACTTGGTACGAACAACCTTCAGTTTCCTGGGGCAGCAGTTCTGCACTGGAAAAATACTTTGCCCTAGGTGCAACTTTGGTGCGAGGTGGTCTGCACTCAGTAAGCTCACAGACCTGGTCAATGCTAGGAGGGTTCACATCTAAGCGGTTTGCAAAAACACACTACAGTCCATTTAACATGATTGCCTATGGGACACGTTCACATTTCAGTGTTTTCACCCGGTGTTTTTTTGGAAAGGGTCAGGGACTTTTTTTTTTTTTTTTTTTTTTACTGGAAAAAGTTGCATTTTTAGTTCTATAGACTTCAATTGAAACGTTGCAGAAAAGCATAAGATGTTTTGAAAATTTATTATAAAAATGCAACGTAGAAACAGATCAAATGCCAACTGCATAGGTGTGAACCTAGCTTTAGGGATCTGCAGCACTACATGAAGGTCATTTAACCCCTTCACACCTAAGAGTAAAACAAATCTTAAAGCCTGAGTAAAAACTTTGTACATTTCATCACAACTACTTTGTACATCCAGGTGAATTATACTGCGTTTTTAGAACAAATTGAGCTTTCATTTGGTGGTAAATGGTAATATCCCCTGATTTTTTTTTCTTTTTTTAATTATCCAAGGAAAACCAGCCCAAAATAGTGAAAAACAATTTAGCTGTGTTCTTGTTACTCCCATAACCTACCACCAAACAAAAACCCAAAATAAATTTTCCAGCTCTTGATTGCAGCGATACCATATTTTACCTAAAACACACTGATAGCAATTAAAAACAAACAAAATAAACACCTGACCTTTTGTCCCTGACCCAAACGCTAACCCTGGCACTGAATTAGATCAAACCTTGATCTAGGTAAGGAAGAAAAAAAAAGCCCATTTCAGTGAGGCTGCATATTTGTGTGACGTCAGCGCCATGGGGTTAAACAAGCTGCTAGCAGGCTTTTAAAGTTACAGCAATTTATTATCTGTGTAAACTTCTCAACAGGAGCTGAAGATGGCTCTAAAGGCTCCAACCAACCGGCTTGAGAAGGGCTTGCAAAAACTTTTTTTTTACACATTTGCTTTTATAAACGCTGTGTGAACAAGGCCTTAAAGTAAGTGGAAAATAGCAGATCTACTAATAGGATCAACAGGTCATAAAACTTACAGGAGGGGCACAGAAAAATAGTTTTAATACTAGTGACATACTGAATAAAACATTCATTATATCTATGTGTGTGTAGCCCCAACAGTGACAGTTTTCTTTGCTCCCTTTTTGATGTGTTAAATGTACCATTGGAAGAAATTTGTTATATCTGATAAGTGCAGAAAAACGTGTTTATCAGCAAGTTGTCAGCTGTCCTGTGTTTGCTGCACCTGTTGGGCTGATAGCCCTTGTTATGTTCTTTGATTTAGATTCAAGACGTCTACATTTGGTGTGACAGTCTTCAGGTGACTGCAAGCTGACTCAGATTTACAGGGGTTTCAGACATAATAGATGATGAACCCACTGTTAGAGTTCCTGATACATCCACTATTTCCTGTGTGAGAAATTGAAACACCCCAAAAGGTTCCTAGGCCCCATTTGAGTGTCAGAAATGTTTCTATTAGAGAGGGAATTGTTGAATCGGTGGCCATCTTTTCCTGTCATAGATGCAGGCATTAGATGCTGACTTTGCCGTATCCTCCAGAGCCTTTTTGTGCTGTTAAAAGCACTGGACTATATATCTATCTTACCACCTCTTCTTAGAATCCCTACTGTGGAATGCTCCTACCCTCAAGTGGGTCGGTTTTCTGGACTCGTAGAAACCTTCAGAAGGTCTTAATGGCTGAAGGTTCTGGGCTAGGCTTTGTAGGTTGTCTGCACTGGTAGCTGTGACTGTCAGGTGAGGGTACTGAGTGCAAATCCCCATTTAAAAAGACAACAGCCTGTAGGGCTTTTGCTTCTATCTGGTTCCCCAGAACAGACCATTCCCACTTCCATGGGGAATCCTTGATTTGCAGTTTTGACTCATTAGGACCTCAGCATAATAACCTGACTTTACCATAAATCCATTGGGAGAAAGGTATTTATAATCGTATACCTTTTTTTTTTTTTTTAAAGTCTAATTGTAGGGTCCTTAAAGAGATAAGACACAGGAAATGTGCATGTATTGAAGAGATACTGCATTTTTTTTGCCTTGACATACACTTTAGGCAGCTGTGAGAAAGTTCCATCATAGACCTAATCAGAGGCCTTTTTTTTACTACTTACCCCTAGGTGGTGACATCTACAAGACAGCACAACCTTGTAGTATTTGTAAATGGTTTATACATTATTATACAGTATTTATATAGCACCAAAGGGTATGCTCAGCCCTGTACAATAGCGAGGGGGACAGAACATGAGACAATACAGTACAATAATACATGAGGGGTTCAAGGGCCCTGCTCTTTAGTTAACCGCTTCCCAACCGCCCCATAGCAGAAATATTGCTACAGGGTGGCACGGGTGCGCAAACTCACGTGTGTGTGTGTGTGTATATATATATATATATATATATATATATATATATATATATATATATTATACACACATACATGATTTTGCATTTCCGAGTAGAAGGTGCGAGCAAGCACCCTACCTGCGCCACCATTTGCGACTGACAACCACTGGGTCCTGTTCAGTGATTACTGAGAATCTCCTGCCCAGTGCCATTAGTACAGTGTCAATTTTTTTTTTTTTTTTTTTTTATAGCACTGATCACTGTATTGGTGTCAGTGATACCAAGTCAGTTCCTCCACGTGTCAGAATGTCTACCGCAGTCCCGCTATAAGTTACTGATCGCCACCATTACTAGTGGGAAAAAAAAAATAATTTCCAGTATCTATACCACCATTTGTAAACACTATAAATTTCACAAACCAATTAATTTACACATACTGGGATTTTTTTTTTTTTTTTTTTACTGGACATGTTTAATAGCACAAAGTCAAAAATGTTTTTTTTTTCCTTACAATTTTTTTTTTTAAATAAAACGCACTGGTGATCAAATACCAAACGAAAGCTCAATTCGTGAGAAAAAAAGGACACACATTTCATTTGGGTGCGGTGTTGCATGACCGCGCAATTTTCAGTAAAAAAAAAAAAAAAAACAGCCTAGTCAGGAAGGGGGGGGGGGGGGGGGGAAGCCTCAGAAGGACAAGTAGTTAAACAGTTTAGCATATTAAGGTTATAATAGCTGACAAAAATAAACAGCATCTGGTCTAAAGGACATTATCTGTATCTACACTGGCCATGCAATTTTTTTAAGCGCAATTCTTTCTGGGACAAAACAATTACTACTTGCGGAATCCCCATCATATAGCAGCTGAACACATGAAGAAGAATGAAATAAAAAAAGAACACAAGAGTTTTCTGCAGAAAGAAATAATCTAGCACTATTGCTTCCACATGCTGGTTACCGTGCTGTCTTGTTGAGCAATATAGATGCTGGTATGATAACAAAAGAAATCTCAAATAGACAATTTCACTTTTAGTTTTTCAGTGTATGGCCGTGCCCTGCAACATGGGTTCTATGGAAAACACTGCAGTTCCATTAAAGTGGAACTTTACCCACAAAAACGTGATAAAAATAATGTTTTGCAAGGAACAAACATTCCACATTAATATTATGCTACCAAAATTAGTGAGTGCTGTAAATTGGCTCCAGCATTGCTACAGTTTCTGCTTGCTGGAGGCTGCCATTTTGTTGAAGCCCACAGCCTCCAATCAGCAGTAAATCTTTAGGTTGTAAGCAGATCAGCCTCTACAATTAGCAACAGAGAACAACTGAGCATGTGCAGAGCAAGGTAAGACAGTGCATTACTGGATTTCAAACAGTATAGACACTTATTTTTATGTTTTACTTGGCTATACCTGCAAAAGGGGCCAGCATAAAGTGATCTAGCAGGACTTAATTTTCTGATGAAAGTTCCACTTTAATACCTATGGATGGTCCTGACATATGGCAGCCCCAGCTATCCGAGACCATCCATAGGAATTAAAGGGGCTGACGTATAGGCAGAAGACCCAGCTGCCATGTACTGCATGCAGATGTTGTACAGCTGCAAACGGCTACACTCAGAGCAGTGGGGATTTATGGAAAGAACTTCTTCATTAAAAGTGAAGTTGACCTTTAACCATTTGCCTACAGGGCACTTTTACACCCTTCCTGTCCAGGCCAATTTGCAGCTTTCAGCGCTGTCACACTTTGAATGATAAATGCACGCTGATGCAACACTACCCATATGAAATTTTTATTTTAATTTTTTGTTTGTTTAGAATTTTTTTTTAAAAAAGCCCAGTGGTAATTACCACCAAAAAAGCCCTGTCTAAAAAACAAACAAAAAAAAACCCTGAAAATTTTGAAAAAAAAAATGGTTTACTTATTTGCTAAATTTTAAAACCAAAATACGA